CCACCGCCACCACCACCACCGTAGTCACGACGGCCATAATCACGTCCGTAGTCACGGCCATAATCACGGCGATCATTGTAAGAGTCGTAGCGACCGTAGCGAGAATAGTCATCGTCGCGGCGACGCCAGCCACCACCGGAAGGACCACGGCGATCATCGTAACGGTCACGGCGGGGACCACCACGTCCACCACCACCGGGACCGCTGGGGGGACCACCTGGGCCATCTCCATCAGGTAACGGTAAGCTAATGCAAGGTGCAAGGGGAAGGGCTTATGTGACTTACCACGCTTGGGAGGACCGAAGTACTTTCCCGGAGTAGGGGTACGAGGACGGGCACGACGAGCCTTCTCGATGCTCAGGGTGCGGCCTTCGATGACCTCTCCTTGGAGACCCTCCTTGGCGGCATCAGCCTGCTCGGCGGTGACCATGTTCACGAAACCGAATCCACGGGACTCCTTGGTGTGGGGGTCAAGCATGATAGAGCAGTTATCGACATCGCCGTACTTCTCGAACAGACGCGAAATATCAGACTCAGTCAGGCGCGGGTGAATACCAGTAACAAAGAGGTTAGAGCCAGAGTTGATGGCACCTTCATCCTCTTCCTCGAGAGGCTTGCGAGCCAGAGGAGCTCTGTGGGTTTATTAGCTTTGAATTGATACAACAAATCAGACAATAACATACCTGTCATCAGAGCGACCGTTAGGGGAGCGGCTGCGAGCACGGTCACGGTCGGCTCGAGGCTCATCGCGAGGAGAGGCGCTGCGCTCCCGATCATATCGGGGCTCGTCTATTGAAAAAAGGTAAATATTTTCAAGCGCATCGAAATAATTATTGAAAACATACCCGCGTAACGGCTGGTATCGTTGTCGTAGTCAGCCATGATGAAAGGACTGAAGGTGTAGGTTGGAAGAAGGAAGAAAGAGAAGTTGGAAAGCTGATCAGAGCGGACACTAAGCACCGGGAACTACACACCCGAGGAATCAGGCAGCGGTACAAACTGCGTGGATTTGCGTCGATTGCGTGAATTCGGTGAATTCGGTGAATTAGGGGAGTTTGTAGAAAAAAAGCTAGAGTTTTCTTTTTTTCTTTTGAAAATGCAAGTTTATGCAGGGGGGAAGACCTTGACTATGACAAACAGCTATTATGCCAAGACTGAAGAAATCGCCATATCAAAGCTTTATTAGCTATAACTAGAGAACTACAAATACAGAAGTAAAATTGGAATACGCTAAAATCAAATTCATGAACCCCACACGAATAATGTCCAGGAATTAATCATCGTGAGCCTCGCAAACGTCGAGTCCGACGGGGATTCTGTTGCGATGCAGTTGGGGTGTTGGCGGTCAGGCCCTTGATCTCTCCATCGTCAACCAAGTCCTTCAACCCTTCGAGTTCATCCTCATCCAATTCACTGAGTTCTTCACTCATTCCTCGCATGACATCCCGTCCAGTCCATCGTTCCTCGTGAACAGTTGTACCGACAGGGTCAAATGGCTGCATGTACCATTGAATGCCACCCAAAGCCAAAGGCAGCTGCTGGTCTTGCTCGGTCAAGACAGGCGTTGGATGTCGGTAGTACGTGGGAACAATCTTCATGGAGTCTTCAGCAGGACGTAGCTCTTCTGCTCCGGTTGCTTCAGGGTGTTGTTCATCCGCAATGGGCTGGGCTTCCGAAGGAGCCTCTGTCGTAGGAAGTGTTTCTTCAACTCCTTCCATAGCGTCAGGGTGGCCAAACAGCTCAGTATCACCTTCCGGCTCGACCGAGTCACCACTGCGTGACATCACACTGTGGTCAAGAATCACGTCCAACTCCTTCAATTCCTTCTCGAATGGTTTGCGGTTGAGCTCGCTCTCTTTCCTGATCGCATCCTCCAGGGAAGGCTGGATTACTTTAATTATCCGTTTCGCTAACTTTCTCTTCTCGCGTTGCTCTAGGCTGAGCTCTGGAGCGCGACCACTGATCTGCGCTTGGAGTTCCGCTGTGTCGCCAGCGGGTTCCACGCCGATTTCCGAGGTGAAAAGACTGGCCAGATCGGCAGAGAAAGCAGCAACAGAAGGATAGAATCGTTCGTTGAGCCTTTGTCGGATTGACATCAAGCCTGCTGCAAATACACCCTTTCCATCGAGCCTGGAATAAAGTCAGTATGAGTGTAGACAATATAGGACGAGTATATCTTACAGTTGAGCTTTCTCAAAGATTGGCCACAGCAGTGGGAACGTAGGGAAGTAGACAAGATCAACGATGTGACGGAGCATTTCGGCATCCTTCAACTTCTCTTTCTCCCGTTTCTTCACTTCATCGCATAGCATCCTCAATCGGTCGAGATCCTTGTAAAGTCGCTCGCCAAACTCAATGCGACGCTCCAGGCGTTTGTGCCCAGGGACACCCATTGCCACATAGTCTCTTCGTGTCATTTCCATGGATGAGAATGTCTCCAGCTGCAACTGGAGTCGCTTGAGCAATGCCGCTCCACGTCTCGCCTCTCGTTTCAATGTCCAATACTTGGATGCATCCTCGGCATATTGCTTCCTTTGGCGGACCGTAAATCGCCCAAGAGAAGCAATCACCGAGTTCAATACAACCTGGGGGATAACTGGGGCACCGGAGGGCAGCTTCCAGATTGTTCTGGGTACACGTTTCCGTTTATTGCCACCTACTGTTAAGGTAATCCGAGGAGTGAGAGTGCGATCCTCTTCTCCTCCATCACTGGGGTGCGCTGGGCCCATCGAGAGTGCCGCAGCTTGGCTGTCTCCCCAGCGTCTACCTTGCATGGTATTGCGGTAATATTCGATGGCATCGGCGGTTGCAGAATCAGTACCATGCTCCAATCGCCAGTCAGGGGGAACATGCTTGTCACAGAAAGCCTTGAGAAGGTGGGAGTCCATAAGGCCATGGCCAATCTTCATCTTTAGATAAAGTTGAGCCCTGCGTGCACATGAGACATGGAAGGCGACAAAGCAGTTTTTGTTGCTGCATTGAATGGATGCACCCATCCGTTGTTTGCAGAGGTAGCAATTCAACTTCCAGCGGCTGCGTGGAACCTTTTCGACATCGGTCACTGGCTCCATAAGAGAGGGGTTACCAATAGAGACTTCAGGGATCCAGAAAGAGCAGAGCAGATGAGCCCATTTGGATGAAGTAGTTTGTTTGAATGCACCCTCAGTGTTCGGGCAGAAAATACAATTGGTGGCCCCTCTTCCTAGCAACTGGCACTTGCGGCAAAGCCACTGACCTTCTGGAATGAAAGGAACGCCATAACACTCCTGGTGGACTGCAAGGTCGCAGCCATCGCAGAAAACAATTGCATTCGAGTTTTCACAATCGCCATCATCACAGATAGCACACTTGCTGTCTTGTTCTTCGCCTGGCCCAGCAGTCTCGCCATTGACCGCAGCTGCAGAGCTAGAGCGAAGACGTCCAGTCTGTGGGGGTTTAGGGTTTGGCTTGGGGATGCGCTTCTCAAGGGCATGCCACTCCCTCTCAATTTTGGTCATAGTAATCTCAAACACAGCAGGCTTGATGGGTTCGAGTTGATCTTCACGGCGCTTGGCATTATATTCTTCCAACCATTTTTCATCCTGCTCATCCATGTCATATTCGACACGTCCAATGGTAGTGTTAAGGTCTCCATCTGTCATGGCAGGTTGAATTACATCAAGGTCATCTTCTTGGGTGCCTTCAGTCATCCGAATAAATCGCCGGTCATGGCGGAGGAAAAGATCGCTCTCCTGATATCCCACGTTTGCCATGGTCCGATCGACATAGTTTTGATGACCGACACCCTTCTTCTCATAGAATGTGAAAGGGTCGCGCAGTCTGAACGACGGCTTGGGAAGTGTTAGTTTCTCCCGGGGGTTGGGACCCGGGGGCGGTATGATCTTTTGTCCCTGCTGGGCAAGAAGGGCATTAAGGATAGCCTCAGGGCGACGAGGTGGACGGCCAGGCCTGCGTTTGATTGGGATTGGAGTAGCCAGTTCGCCTGATATGATAACTGGTGATCCAGAATGATCCGATAGTTTCGCGCCAGCCAGGGACTCCAGACTCAAGATAGGAGCAGAGGTATCTGGGGCATCGACTTCCTCGGACGTGAAGACAGCAATTTTGCCATCAATGTCCAAGTCGGGATGGAACTCTTCCCACCCGCGCTCTTCACGTGGCTTGTATCCATCGCCTTGTTGAAGCGCAAGAGCAGCGGCCGTAGAAGAGGTGAACCGACCGCGGGTTTGGGTCTTGTCGCGCCTTGGACGCGACATAGAGGGTGGTGTTGTTGGTATAATGGGAGGTGGCGGTGGAGGGGCTAAGAATGGTTGGTCCATCTCACGGGGTGGACGGCCTCGACCACTTGCGGAGTGGCGTCGGGGAGGGCTGGTTTTCTTGGGTGTTTCTTGGGCGGCAGCGGCGGCGGCAGCAGCAGCTACAGCGTCGAAGTCGATGAATCTTCCTCCTCCTCCAGGACCACCTGGAACGTACTTTCGCTTCTTTGAAGGAGGGCCGTCAGGGGAATCGAAGGAGCCGATGTTGGATGACTTGAGGGAAGACCTAGGTTTACTGCGTGATGGACGACCAGAGATTGAATGTCTGACCGTCGGGGCCATAATTCAAGAACAAGCTTTCCAGTGTGTGTATGTTGTTGGGGATGGTGATTCTTAATCGGACGGCGTCAGGTCGCGTTGAGAGGCCGACTCAGGCGGGGCCTCGGGAAATCTCAAAGACGCACGTCTCAAGTCATGCGACAGCAAACTAGAAACGAATGTACACAATGGACGTAAAGGACGCCAGAGCCCGTGGAAGCTACAAGGCGCGATGAGGTGTTTGGTTATCTGGTCAAGGCGGAGACATCTTGTCTCGGCCTGTTGGCCTGAGGCGCCAATCTTGACTTTAAGCACCTCCACAGCTTGACAAAGGGACATGACATCCACAGCTGTCTCTTTCAAGCTATTTACGACTTTGATCTTGAGATTGAGCTTTGATTTTTCCTTTTTGAATAGATCTACAACATGAGCGGTTCTAGCGACAATAGGTACGCGTTATCCACCCCAAAACACCACGCGCTTCAGCTTCGCTAATTGGTACTGCCTTCATAAGATGGCGGGGTGGACCGAGTCGCCAGGCGTCGCAGCGCAACTCGAACAACCGTGACAAGACAGCAGGACAAGGAAACACACGCGATAACAATGCTGCTTGGAGCGCGTCGAACCCTCCACAGGAACCGCATGTCCCTGTACGGGGCTTCAACAGCACAGAGGTCAAGAACGTTATGAAGCGTATGTATATGTACCTAATCTGCAAGTACAAGGGCTAATCGAGCTTCTACGATACAGCAGGGCCTGATGGTACGTCTTATCTCTACCTCTGTGTCTATTCAAAGCTAACCTTCGTGCCATTGATACAGAAATGAACTCCACGACGCCCTACAAATCTCATTCTAAAGACGGTCCTACCCAAAGATCTACTGCCTGGGGCCCTAAGGGTACAGTCCACCTTCAATCGCAATATACCCTTGAACAAAAAAATAACCATATCTACAGCGCAAAACATGGCAAATGGGAAAGACTTCTTCCTGGAGCTACGAAAACAGATTGCTTCACTGCAGCGAAGCGGTCCCTCTGTTGGCGGCTGATCATGCCGATTACAAATTCATTATCTCAAAGTACTTGCATTGCACAGTCGGTCGGTCGCGAGTTTGGTTCGTTTTCATGGGTTGCAACGGCGCATCTTCGATACCCTACTGTGGAGGATGCATGGGTGATGAGTGGACTCGGAGGTTACATGCCATCGGCGTCTCTGATGATTCTGGGTCTTGCATGTCCACAGTGCACCATAACTCCTGTTTTTCAAAATTTATTCATTACAATTCATGCACTGCATTAGTAATCTGTGGCAATGAGAATGCATTATCTTACACGCGCTATTATACAGGGAAAATATGTCAATAATATACAAGCAGGTAGCCAACCAAATGCAATCATCACTCTTGGATCCAGCCTCCTGGGCCAAGGATACCTCCATCATCAGCCCGTGGGTCGAGGGTCCATTTCCGTAAAGGACGGCAGTCGAGGTCGGATCGGAAGCCAGCCTCGAACATCTCAATGCCTGCCCACCCAATCATGGCCGCATTGTCGGTACACAAATATGGAGGCGGAGCAACGATTTTGATATTGCCAAAGCCGCGCACTTCCAAAAATGAAGTAAGCACTTTCATGAGGAACTGGTTGGCGGCCACACCACCACTGACAACGATGGTGTTGATATCATTCTTGCCATTATTGTGCGGCCGCATAGTGTCCAGAGCGATAACAGTGCGCGAAGCAAGGTGCTCAAAACAAACGCGCATGGCTTCCCGGCCTAGATCAACACGCTCTGTATGTGACATCTTAATATTCATACCGTTACTTTGAACGATCTTCCCGACCATGCTCGAAATCGAAGAAAAACTGAACTGCATGATGCGCGTATTCGCAAATGGAGTAGTAAGAGACCAGCCCCAGTCGCTTACGCGCTTGGTTATTTCTTTGCCCCGAGATTCTGGTGGCGAGTAATCCGCGAAATCGGCCTTGCCATTAGGGAAGACGAATTGCTCCAGAATTTTGCCGTACATGGTAGTTTTAGCTTCCTGAAGGAAAGACTCAGGTAGGATATCTCGTGCAGATTTATCAAGTGCCTCTCCAATAGCTATATCTTCGCTTGTAGCGAGAATTCTATGGTCTGTGAGACCTTTGGATTGAACCAGAGTCGTATGGCCGCCAGAGACGAGAATGGATAGGAAAGGGAATTCGGGCACTATTGCAGGTGAGTCGGGCTTGGCTTCATTTTCCAGACTTGAAACTAGTCCGGGTGTCAAAAGATGCGCCTGCATGTGATGCACTCCGACCATGGGGATCTGCCATGCAACCGACAGCGCTTTTCCAGTGTCGAGGCCAACGGACAGGTTGGATCGCATACCGGGACCTCTTGTGGCGGATATGAAATCGGGGAGGCGGCGACGAGTTCCATCTGCCAGTTTGAGTCCATCGCTTGTTTTGGACTCCGGTAGATAATTAAGGGCTCTCTGTACAAGGTTTGCGAGGTTGTCTTGGTGAGATTCAAGGGCGATGATAGGGTGAATTCCCCGATGCGCACGCGTGTCGGCCGTTACATTTTCAAGGAAATGGATTTTGGCTGCACTTCCGGAGTCTTTCTTTGTTTTCTCAACGATAGCTACTGATGTATCGTCACTGTTGTTGGCAACTAATTAGTTGGGTGGCTTTTTTTCGGACGGGTGTTAACCTCCGCTTACCACGACGTTTCGATTGCCAACGTGAGCAAGCCACGGCGGGAGGTCAAACATCTCCTCGCATTTAGCGCTGATCTGCAAAAAGTCGCAGCAGATGTCACTCTGAATAACATTGGTAAGATGCTTGACATACGACCAGCGACAGGGGCGAAAAAGATCGGACGCGCACGGGCCGGAGAAGCCCTCAAATAGAGCCCTAAAATAGCCCTGGAGGCACCAAAATAGCAATCTATAGATCTACGAAGCACTGCGTACTGTCGCAAAGGCTACCTACAAATCTTAATAAAGCGTTAACTTACTATTAGAATCGAGAATTTTGATGCAGGTTCGAGGACACCGTTGTATTTGCAGTAACGAATGACTAGGTTAAAACATGTATGCTCAAAAATCAAAAAATCATCAATCCAGGTCCCATCATAACGTCATAAATAATTGTTCCTCCAAAACACTGATACATAGTTTCCACTTCAACAGAATTTGCGGTGCACATCAAAGGCGAAGTGAGTCCAAGTAGATGATACTGACGAATGCTGGTCGAGACAAGCGCGAGAGGCAGCATAGTCATCCAGAGAACGACCTTGAGAGCGGCTGGATGAACACTTTAATGCGCCGTTCTGTCATATATAAGACTTCATTTTGCAGTTTCAGGATGTCGATTGTGGGGCGCGCAAGATGTTGTGCAGATTGAGGTGATCAATGAGAGACCCGGGATGCAGAGCGTGGCATCGCAAGATGTAAACACCGAGTCATTCAGAAGCACCTGGCCGCTCCCCATTACTCCAGCCATGGACGGTCATTAGTGATACAGATCTCGAGCTTCATCTCACTGCCGTACCGTCCATCGCCGTTCTTCTCGTGACATCTTCATGTGCTTGCCGTAATATTCGTCTGGGTTCTCAATAGGCGTCACACAGTGGACTGTTGGCGTGACTTGGAATTGTATACGCTTGTCAACAGTGGCAGTGCGCGAGGACGACTGCTTCTTAAGGATGCTCTTCGATGAGCAAGAGTTTGTGTATGCGTAGCTTGGAACTTGCAGTGAGGAGAATCTCATGCTGGATGGGCTTGATGCGGAAATTGGCGAGACAGGAGTGCGCGGAATAGGGCCTGGTGACTTGAGTGATAGTGTTGGCCGAGGAACACTCTGCGCAGCAGAGATGCTCAGGGACAACTTTGGCTTGACGACACGGGCAGTATACATTGTGAAGAATGAAGGATCCACGATAGTTGAAGAAACTTAGGACAATGCAGTTGATGTTATTTGGTTTTGGTTTGCACAGGGAGACTTTGATCAACAAAGATATCCGAGTAGGCAAGGGGAGAAGCAAATTATCGACGTAGATGTGAAGGATTTGAAGCACCTGGAAGGATTTGAAGTACCTGGGCCAGCCAAGTCGAAAGACGAAAATAGAAGATATGAAAATAGGAAAATATGAAAATAGGAAAATCTCAAACGGTATGACAAAATCCTGTCTCCTGAGGGACAGATGGGGCGGCTATATACACTTGGGGGGGAGAGGGGAACCACCTTCTTGCCTAAGCGCCCACCCTATGCATGATGGTGCACAAATCACCGCCATCACACTGGAGTTTCTAACTTAGGAAATCTTCCGTCCCCTCTAGCCAATTAAAATCCACACGGCTTGGAACCCCCGTCTAGTGTGATGTGACGGGTGGTAGGATTCGGTGATGGGGTGTCCAATATGCCTTGCAGATAACTGCACTTGGAACCACACCGTGGCGTTCCTGTCTATTTGATTCGAAACTCTCGACCAACTAATAATTGATAGGCAAAGAAGATCACACTTACATCAAGTGAATTTCTACATTATTGGGTGATACCCCCGCATTATCACAGTGACTAGCGGTGGTTGCGAAAGCTGATTGGTTTGAATCTCAAATTTGGAAGATCGTCGTACTATAATTAGATATCACATGGGATTAGGGCCGCTATTAACTATTTTTACTCTTCAGGATTGAGTGATGGATGGCATCTATGCTTGGGCATACCCCCGTACTTACTCTGTAGACCTACCAAAGCTACTTATGGACTACGGAGTGGTAAATGCAGTTTTATCACTGTTGATCACATTTTGTTGTGGCTTTTTTTGGGTGCTAATTGACCTCCAGTCTTCGCAAACTAATGCTGATCTATGTCACATTCTTCTTATGTGATTGTCGTAGTGATTATATTTCCTAATTTAAAAACAGAGCATGTATGCTGCACGATGCAATGCTTGAACGTGTACTCTATTTATAGAAAGTGCCACTGAAATTGACAGCGCGTGGTTGACATACTTGCAGACATTTACTTGATTAGGATAACGCCGGGGGAGAGAGCGTTTGATTTTTAAAACGAGCGACTAGCTATTTGAGTATATCAACCTGTGACTGGACAGTAATCAAAAACAAACACATAGGATAATGACATGGGACATGCGCAGAAAACACAGAAAAACTAGAATAAATCAATGACTCGAGATCCTATGAGATTAGCAAAATCTGTAGCATCCTAGGTACCGGCGGGTTCAGGTTGAAAGACTGGGACTTCCATAGTTTGTTGGGAGGCTCTCCTGCCTGCCGGGAAGGTGGCTGGGGCTTGGGAGGCTTTGGAATAGGCTGTGGCTTGATTAGCTTATTAGATATGATAAATATAGATCGAAAGCGGGGATAAAGTGTTGGTTTGTTTAGACCCTTGATTCAGCGTTGTGACAAATAGTTTTTTTTTAGGGGAAGCCCTGGAGAGATGGGCTTATTTACATAAGATATTGTAACTAACTAACTAACTAGTTAGCTCACTCTTCGAGATGATAGAGGACATGCACACTATCTTTGTTTCTGCTCAAGCTATCATATACAAGAATATTCGGGCACTTCTGCGGCCTTGTGATGATCCTTTTTGTAGGCTTTTTATTAGATATTTTTTCTCCCTTCACTGTTCTATAGGTAGACAGCAGAAAAAGGCGAGAGAAACACTATAAAATGCACAGAGGACTTTTCTATATATAGCCTTTGAAATTCGAATGAAAGGAATGGTGTGGACCACGAAATAAGGGAGATGATCAGGGCTGAATATTGACGACGAACTACCTACTGACATGAGGTTCCTTATATGCTTCATGACAAAGGGAGGTCTAGCTAAGTGCGAGCAAGCCCCTGCTTTACTGCCTGAGTGCATCAAGAAATGATGTCCATTGTATAGAAGATCTTTGTTTTATGTTTGTCGACAAGGTTTATCAGCTCCGCAAAGGACTCGGGCAAGACTGTTTACATTCAGAAATCGAAATAAAATTAATGACAGTTGGTCGATGTATGAAAGCGAAGCGAAGAAATGTGGAGCGTATGAGGAAAGACGAAGTTAGAAATCGAAGAGAACACTAGAGGTATGATAAGATCTTATTTACTCCTTTTGATAACCAAAACAGTCTATCATTCATTCCCCCTGAGCAGATATGACTTTTGACTATTTCAATCATATGAGTCCAGTATAACCAGCTCGGACTTGGGGGTATTATTTTCCTTGAGTTCTAGATCATAGAGTTTGATGACATGCAATATATACCTTCAATAACCGTGCAATCCAGGGTGTTCGACCTTGGAATCGCGTAAACTCCATAGCTTAAGGTGAATCAAGTTTAAGCATAATAGATTTAGTAGTAGTGATAAATATCAATTTTTCTTCCGCTCTTGTGATATAATTCCCATCATGCTATTATAGGAACAAGTACGTGTATTCTTGGAATTACTAAATTCTTCTGGAATTCCTTCTTCTCTCTTTGAGTATTTGACATAATGTTGTACTCCGCATGATTTTACCTCTACGGCCCTCGAGTAGTACTACCGGGTGGTAAGCTTACTAGGGTAGCCATTTTATTCTAACTCTGTATCTTCCCTGTAGCTTTTGGTATGAGATATAGCCCATATTGAAATTGGTGGTTGATTTTAACTCTTACATAGAACGGATCGTCTTGCAACACACTCCGTACATATGGATTTACCCCAGATTAATTGTCCGAGGCAATGTCGGCAGGCTTAGCTCCCGGGAAATCATTTCTGGAGCTTTTAAGGCTTGAGATCAAGAACATTATACTATACTTTCAGAGCTAAGAGTTGGGCTAGTTTTATAGCTACACCGCTATACACTACTCTACACTACTCTACAACGTATGGTCCACCAGGTACGTATATAATGATCATATATAATGATCCTAATTTATATGTTAGATTCCAAAATAATGAAATTGGAACTTGGAAAAGGATAGTTATCAAAGTTGAATCGGTTAAATGGATACATAATAGAGTGCGGAGAAGGAGTATAACGGAACATAAAATCCGGAGTTGAGCCGAGTGAAGTCTGGAAGGCTTGGAAGAGGGGAAAGATATGAAATTGACCAATTGAAATAAAATTCTCCAACTTGTTCCCACTGAACTCCGCACCGAACTCGGAGATCCCTTTTTGGTTTTCGTTCTTTTCGTGCTTTTTCGTCCTTTCGTCTTTTCGTTAAGGCTCACCGGTTCCGATGGGGCCATGTGACAGGTTAAACCTATCCGGTTTCTTCCTCTCTTTCAAAGTCGCCTGCTGACTATGTTTCTTTTTTTTTGTTTTGCCTAATATGGTTCAGGTCAATACCGTGGCGAATGGTGGCGAATATTTTATATTCCCAGGGGAAAAAACTGGGTTAAAAAGTTCATCTCGAACAATAAGAAATCGTACCAGACTAATTAAGGGACATTTTATATAGAGTACTTACAAAGTACATAGATATCAGGGCCATGCGGAGATCGATGAGAGACCTCTGATTCGGTCCGATCTGTCCGGGTAATTAACGCCATGAAAAAAAAAAAGCCCCAAGGGGTAGTAAAAAAAAAACACCAACGTGGCCAAGGGTTTATGCGTGGAATATAGGAAATTTAAATATCAAATCTATCAATACACATTATATTAGCTATCCTAAATATTTCTATTGTGAGAATAATATAAGCCCGAGAACTTTACAAAGTGGGCTTCCCTTCTATTATCATAACACTTTTTATTGACTCAATCTTCCCCTTCTCCACCTCCCTCGACCCCTTCCTTCCCCCAGTTTTTCTCTTTTGTGCGGTGTCTTTTTTTTTGTTTAATACTCAAAGTCAACTTGGACATACACAATGGCCAGTGTAAAGGAAGCTGTGAAGGAATCACTCTTGGGCAGCACAGAGTCGCCTCAGCTGTCCCACCAATCGCGCTCGAACTTTCTCCGCCATGCGCAAAAAGATGAGAATGGGGAGCTCTTCATGAATGAGGAGAACTTCATTAATGCCGTGGCACCTAAACAGGAAGACTATGTAAGTGTTACCAAGGGACGACAAAAGTACTGAGAGCGCAATTGCTGATCTGGTTCCCTCCCAACAGCACAAGATTAAGCGCGAACAATATGGTATCCTTTTCAACGTCGCAGACCGACGGAAAGCTGGAAAGCTGAACATTACCGACTGGGCCTCCTTCGAAAACCTACTCGCGAAGCCCGATGCCGAATACGAGATCGCCTTTCGTCTCTTCGACTTCGATGGAACCGGCAGTGTCAAGTTCGAGACCGTGCAGGGACTGTACAACATGAACAAGAGTGCCGACAGCATTCCTTTTGATTGGAACTCAGAATGGGCCTCGCTGTACGGAGGCCGTTCCAAGTCTCGCCATGATATGACCTACCCCCAATTCGCCCAGATGCTGCGCGGTTTGCAGGGTGAGCGTATCCGCCAAGCTTTCCACATCTTCGACAAGGACGGTGATGGCTTTATCCAGCCCGAGGACTTCCAGCGCATTATCCTCGAGACCTCGAAACACAAGCTCTCCGACCATGTCCTCGAGAACCTCCCCACGCTGTGCAATATCTCGACTAGCAACCGCATCTCCTACGCCAATGTCCGCGCTTTCCAGAATGTCATGCGCGAGATGGATATCATTGATATGGTTGTCCGCGAAGCAACAAAGAAGAGCGCCGATGGTAAGATCACTCGTTCCGACTTCCTGAACGAGGCTGCTCGTGTTACCCGGTTCTCCCAGTTTACACCCATGGAGGCCGATATTCTGTTCCACTTCGCTGGACTGGATGCGCCTTCAGGACGTCTCTCCCAGAGAGACTTCGCCAAGGTCATCGATGCTTCATGGCGTATTCCCGTGGCCGCTGTAAACCAGGCCTTGACTACTGGACATGAAGTTGCCGAGAAGACTAAGGGCTTGCTTCACGGCATTCTTGAGTCTGCACACCACTTTGCTTTGGGTAGTGTTGCCGGTGCCTTTGGTGCATTCATGGTCTACCCCATTGATCTCGTCAAGACCCGTCTGCAGAACCAGCGTTCGTCTCGCCCTGGCGAGAGGCTGTACAATAACTCCCTCGATTGCGCTAGAAAGGTTATCCGCAACGAGGGTTTCACTGGCCTGTACTCTGGTGTCATTCCTCAGTTGATTGGCGTGGCGCCTGAAAAGGCCATCAAGCTGACGGTCAATGATCTCGTTCGTGAGTTTTTTACGGACAAGGAAACCAACAGGATCAAGTACGCTCAAGAGGTTTTGGCTGGTGGAACTGCCGGAGCTTGTCAAGTCGTCTTCACAAATCCCCTTGAGATTGTGAAGATCCGTCTGCAAGTCCAGGGTGAAATCGCAAAGAACGTCGAGGGTACCCCTCGCCGCTCAGCCCTCTGGATCGTTAAGAACCTGGGTTTGATGGGTCTGTACAAGGGAGCCAGCGCCTGTCTTCTTCGCGATGTCCCCTTCTCGGCCATTTACTTCCCCACATACGCACACTTGAAGTCCGACTTCTTCGGCGAAACCGCTACAAACAAGCTGGGTGTTGTCCAGCTCCTCACCGCCGGTGCTATCGCCGGTATGCCCGCTGCCTACTTAACCACACCATGCGACGTCATCAAAACCCGTCTGCAGGTTGAAGCTCGCAAGGGCGACACCAAGTACAACGGTCTGCGCCACTGCGCTGCCACCGTCTGGAAAGAAGAGGGTCTAGCTGCTTTCTTCAAGGGTGGACCCGCCCGTATCATGCGCTCTTCGCCTCAGTTCGGTTTCACCCTAGCTGCCTATGAGGTGCTGCAGAAAAATTTCCCCATGCCCGGTGAGGGTGATGCTATCACACCCACTGGCCACGTCGAGCCTAGTGTTGGCGGACATGGTGCTAAGGCGCCTCTGCCTTACCTCCGGTCAAGGAACGCGCTCAAGCTCATCCTTGACCTTGACCAGAACATTGGCCGGGTTCAGGTCCCACGGCCTGAGAACTGGCCCAAGTTCCTGCAGAGCTCGAAGTAAGGAGGCTTGCTGTTATCTAGTGAACCTGCCATTTCTGGTCATTGTTTCTTCAATTTTCATATTTTTTTTACTAGCGATATATTTCTCATTTCTCATTTGGTCAAGGCCTTATCTCTATTTAGCATGAGATATTTCTCACTTTTTTTTCAGATTCTTTTCACGTCAGTTCTCTTTGCGGTTCAGTTGAGCCTGGCATGGGGCGTGCATCCCCCCTTTGCATCATGATGTCTTCTCTTTCATTTCCAGAGACCACCTATGTTTGCATTGTATCAACAGCAGATAGATTTGGAAAGAAGGTGTGTGGGTTGTCTTAGAGGGCCCTAATCGTGGTGTTTCTATCAATCTAGATTGGGTTTGGGTTGATATTCTCCTGTTCATGATGTGGATATAAAGGTAAAACCTAGTTTATGGTTGATCCAAGTGGTGTCTAGGTAGCAGATTGGTCCTATCCATTTCAAGGAAGTATTCGGGTGCATTTGATTTTGTGGTCTGAACTTGACTACATTGTGAGTTCTGGTTTTGAGTTATTCATCCCAAGTTCAGGGAAAATATGTACATGACGCATGATTTGCAAGCTCATAAACGGGTATCGGAATCTACTCTCCAAGAAAGACTCTGTACAGGTGATGTTACATTTATATCCTAGAGGATATATCGGTCATGGGCTGTGTCCATGTGTGTGGGAAATGCTAGACCCAGCTGCCGTGGAATGGAATAAATCCCATCGTGATCTAGAAGATCAATTCGAAATCATTGAGACGGCAGTGCCCCAAGGTGGTATCGTGTATTCCGAGTCCAGATGATTGTTCAGAACCTCAAGACTAGAGGTTCGGTCTTGATAAAGACTAAATTTAGTCCTCATTTCCCCATTCAGTAGAATCTAAGCTTTCGTGGAGACCCAGTCTTCACAACCTCATCGGTGGGGTTTTCTTCCGAAGATTGTGTGGGTTGTTTTTGTTCTTTCTCAGGCTCCTGGGACTTCTCCGCCTGTGGCTGGGCAGTCTTCTTCTCATGCCATAGGGAATCTTCGGCTTCAATCTCGCGCAGTACTAGAGAGAAATAGTCAGACACCAGCCATGAAATATAATTGCCGGATGTTGGTTAAACACACCCTCATCCCACTCTCGTTCCTTTGCCTCGTCGCCCGTTCCCAGCAACTTCTCTACGTCGACCTTCTCTCCATTCTTGACTCGTGCAATGATCTCCCTTAGAAGCTCGATCTTCGCATCTGTCGTCCGAGTATATGCCGCATAGCCGTTCTTCAAAGTGAGCATGCGAATGGCCTGCGAGCCGATCAGAGTGAACATGATGATGTAGAACGTTGCCGGGTTCCATTCTTTAGATTTCTCCTTCGTAGGATTCTTGCGCGCTCGGCCACCCCGAAGAAATCGGGGAATCATTGCGGTCCATACTGACGTGTCTGCGATCTTCGGGAGGCGATCGGAGGTCGAATATGAGCGTCCAGCCGGAGCGCAACATTGTCTGGTAGCATTTAATGTGGAAGGAGCAGAAATGATCTGTCTGCTAAGCCCAAAGGGCTTGAATCTGAAAGCCATAGCTCTGTTTGCGTCTAGTAGCAATCGTCGATCTTTAGAAGCGTGAAAAGTTGAGGTCGTGATTGCCTGAGGCGATAAGGCTATTAACGCCTAATAAGGTATAGCGCTGTTGTTGCCGCGGGAACCCCCCGTTTAGAGTGTCCGGCCGATAGCGATTGCACATCAAAGGCTCGACGCGAGCGATGACCTCAGTCCTGCAGCTTCGATAAAACGACAATAGAAATGGCGGTTACCGTCTTACCGGGCAGCTCTTTGACAGAGTCCGTGAAACAGGCCCTTCGCTCAACGACCACATGCTCCGACGCTACTGTGTTGTCCCTCCAAACACTCCTCCGCGGGTCGCCAAAGATCCCCGAGAAACCCACCAAACGCACAAAATCCACAAGAGAACCCGCCGCGACGCCGAGTCGAACGAGAACTTCCCGCGCAACGAAGACGAAACCTGCGAGTGATGCGGCGCTGCAATCATTGGCCGATCACGACGCGGCGACATTGTCTTGTCAGGAGAAGCTGGTCTTTGCTACAGAAATATTCAATGCCACATTAAAGACCCTCACAGATGCAGCGAAGAAATCTACAGCCAAGCGTCAGAATAATTCTCCCGACACTGCTAATGGCCCCGACGCGGGCATCGTCTCGGCTGCGGAGTGCGCCAGGCTTTCTTTGTCCACACTACGCAGCCTTAAAAACGACGCTGCGAATGACCAATTTCCGAACATGCAGCTCGAGCAGGGACTATGTGTTCTCGCCGGAAAGCTTATTTCCCTGGGACTCAATGACGTGGCATACAAAGAGCTTCGACTTTTGAAGCGGAGAATCCAACAACATCTGGATGGCGGGAAGGCTGGGAAGAAGAGTACAGAAACGAAGGAGATGCCGGACGAAGAAGCTTCGAAAGAACGGATGTCGGATCTCTTGACATTTGCTCATATCTCGAACGGAAAATCGCTTTACGGCTTGCTCGTTCCCTTTCACTCGAACGTGATGCGACTATTTGCCGCGGATAGAAGAGCCTCCACAATCCAGAAGGTCTACCCTTCCTTGCAGCTTTCTGATTCAAGTAGCCCTGCCCAAGTCATTTTGGCTGCCCTCAAATCGGGTCAACTCTCGAACGACAAAGCTGCTCTTCAACTCCAATTACTATCAAATACGGTTCTGTCACTTTGCTCGGGTTCATCTTTCTCGAAGGATGAAGCCTCGAATAGTCTGAAGCCAACCACGTCATTGGCTTTGCAACTACTTTCGCTTGAAGTTCGAAGTTTGGGCTGGAAGCTGTCTGGTCATGTCTGTGATGAGAGCAAGGAAGTTTTCGATCCTTTGCTTCGCTATTTTGGTAGCTTTTCTCACCGGAGTAAGGGCATTGAGAAATCCGAGTTTGCTTTAATCTACAAAACGGTTACGCGGCTGCAGATATCCATTGCAGAGGTCAAGAAGAACTCATCAGAAACACAAAATGCCAATCAAGCTGCTAAGCTCATGATTATTCTCGGGCAGCTCGCTTTCGATGCGGGCTGTTTTGACGAATCCATGAAACTGTTCACACAAGCCGTCAATCCCCTGTCAAAAACGCAGTCTCTTTCGCTGGCAACAGTTCGGTGTAAAATTGCATCTGTTCATTTCCAGGCTTTGAAGACATCAAAAAAATTCTTGGATGGAGCTTTGGATTCTGTGTCAGACGCGACTCAGTCCCTAGGGTTGCAGTTAAGAGGCAGTGCAAACGACCTAGATGAACTACTAGTGGAAGCTGCACGACTAAAGAAGCTGGCTCTTGCGTGGTTTGGAGAGGCTATCACAAAAAGTGACGACACTGAAAGTGAGAAAAACGAACTTACTAGTCAGATCAGGGAATATCTACAAGCTTTCATCAGGTTCCTCAGGCGCTATATTGGACGCCAACCAGCAGAAGATGGCGACGAAAAGGAGCTTGAGATGTTCGGCAAGCGCATTTCAATTTCTAGGAACATTATTCTCGCTGCCATTGACTCTACTGTCGCAATTGGGAAACTTTCCATCATGTCTCAGAGGCCACCTTGGGAAGACATGCTTCCAATTCTGGCCGATTGCCAACGCCTCCTTTCCACCATTGGATCTCCCAATGAACAAAGCGCAGAGACAACGGAAACTCTAGGAATGGCACTAATCAAACTTTCAAATCTGTTCTGGTCTCGATACATCAAAGAAAAAGAAGCCGGACAGGGTTATCGGGAGCTTATACCTCTTCTCAAACAATCTACCCAGCTGCTTTCAAGCTGCTCACCTTCTCAGCGTGACACGGCATTTGCAGCCCTCAAGTTCGAGAGAATGGCTCATCTGTACATCGAGGGCAATATGTACATTGAATCGGAGCAGATGTTTCGACAATCGATTGAAGAATACATTCTCTCTGGCACTCTAGAACAGATCGCCAAGAGCAGCGGAGGACATAATCCAAGTTCGGTCAACCAGGATCCTAAGAGTCCCAGTTTCATGCTTGGCCGTGTTCTTTCCGCCTTTCTGAAAATGAAGCTGCGCAGAAAGGGATCTCACCCCTCTGTTGTTTATGATGATGTTGAACTAGAATTCGAGCAGAGAGGTCTTCTTCTCGAATGGCAGATGGTCTTGCTTGTTGACATGCATAGCTATTGTTCAAACGAGGAAGAGTTCCGCTTGATTCTCGGCTCGGCTGTTTCCTCCCTCCTCGATCTCTACCCCCTTGACGTACACCCTATTCGCCGCTCTCGTGTGATTCTCTCTGCCTTGCGGCTTCTACTGGAGCAGCCTACTGCCTTGGATTCGTCTTTGGTTGAAACTCTGCTGAATGCAGGGACAGAGGCTTTGAATCGTGGTCTACAAGTCCAAGATGACATTGATCTTGCTTCATTTGCAATCCATATCAGCAACTCATTGCGTGTTATTATCGGCTTCCGCTACGGCAAGATGGACGCAAACCAACTGGATGACACGCTTGCATCGTGGACTTCATTGGTGCGCCAGTCCCATGACTGGAAAACACTGCTGCTCTGCATCAATGACACGGACTACTGGGTCTTGCAGTTGAAGGCCCTGGTTGATTATACCGAAATTCACGGGCTTTGGAACGCTCAACTATGCACCCTGGAACTGATATTGCGTGCTGCGGAGCTCCAGCAATCAGGGGATTTGTCAGATGCCATCATCATTCTGTCGCGCTTGGTACTGCAGAATTGCCGCCTGGGCTATTGCCAAAAGGCAGGTGAACTTCTCTCGCGTGGCGAGCAGTATCTTGCCCAAACGAACTTATCTTCTCTTGCTACCATTTCCTACAAAGTTGCACAGGTGGAATATCTTCTGGAGACTGGAGAACCGGAGAAAGCTGCTGCCGTTCTTACAGCAGCCCGCACACTCTACGAAAAGTGCAAATCAGAATTGAGCAATTTAACTGTGATGTCCAAGATATCATGGGAAAGACTAGTAGCAGATGCCGCCTTCGTTCAGTCTAGGTTGTTCTCCGCACAGGGTTCAGCAACCCAGGCTCTGTACTTCGCAAAGTTGTCTGTAAGACTCAACTGCCGCATATGGGCTAAGGTTGAGAGGCTCGCTCAAAGGAAGCAGGACAAACTTTTGCCTGCTGTAGGAGGTTCTGATGTTGAAGCTGTTGCTGATGGTATCGCAAAGCTAGATTTATCTCAGAACGGGTCTTCCCCGGATATGTCTGTCAGCTACATCCAAGGTGCACCTTTCTGGCCGCATCTGGGCTCTCACCATACCTGCTTGTTGAACCTCGCCACATTATCTGCCCACCACGGCTTGTTTCAGGATGCTATTTATTACGGGGAACAAGCGCTGAAGATTGACAAGACACTTGATGCCAATGCACGGCTACTTGCAGCGCAGACCCAGCTCGGTTGCCATTGGATTCTCAGTGGGCACATGAGTGAGGGACAAGACCATCTCTCTGCAGCGGCCGAGTCATCTAAACAAACCCAGAGAAGTATCGAAACAGTGTCTTTCCAAATGGCACTTGCGTCTCTTTACAAGACCCAGGGTGCACATGACAAGGCACTCCGTGTTCTCCTTGAAGCAGATAAAATCGTCACAGCCATTGCCTCTGCTGATATCCCTGCCAATCTGGAGGTATCAGGCATGGCAGAAATCGAAGAAAAGATGGACAAGTTACGGGTTAGAGCAAGCAGCCGGCGAACACCAACACCTCGAACCCCAACACCTACTACAACTACTACCACTCGACGGACCCGTGCAACCAGTTCCGCTGCTACCAAAAACACAAAGAAAACCCCAGCTCCAAAACCAACCCTCCCCGAAATTCAATCTAAAACTCTATTACAACTGAAAGGCAACATCCTTAGACAGCAGGCTGATTGCCTGCGGGAATTACGTGACTTTGAACGATCTGCGCAAACACTTGCAGAGGCCAGGCAATTTGCCGTGGCCCGAGAAAGCAAGATCACTCTGGAGATCGGCGAGAGCGAGCATCTGTTGGCTAATGCAATTCGCCGTTTTGCCAGCCATGCCGTGTACTGCGTGTTACCTGAATCTACAATCTCGCTGCCGTCACTCAAAACACCAAGCAAGACAGCAGAAGAGCCTAGTTTACCCCTGACAAAGCCATCGACAAGAAGAACCAGGGCTCCAGCCAAAACAACGCGCACCAAGGCTCAACGAGCCAGTGAGGATTTTTCGGTTATGCTGTCCAAGGCCAGCGATTGCCTTGCCAGTGTCTTCTCTGATGCCACGATTCTAGGCTCAACGCTTGATAGCCATGCGGCATCTCGTTTGATGAGTCGGATCTCTATGCTATCACATGCCACTTCTCCCGGGATCCCAGCGACTCTGGCTCAGTCGCCTGCAAATATGAATGGTAAGTTCTGCGAGATCCTTTTGGTTTGACCTATATCTGACTTTTTAAATTAGAGATCGGACGTGTTGGCGCATTCGCCCGGGAGCGTATGGCGATTGATATCGATCGACAACTGGCTGATTTTGCCGACCCTCTTTCTTGGCCAGCCTCGTTCCCCTCAGCTGTC